AGTTAATGAAAATTTTAAAGTAGCTTGCCAACCAAATAGAATAAAATGTTAAGTCTCTTTGATGGATTTGTCTAAAATGGATAATTTTCTCTGTTCCAGCAATTGTGTGGCTTTGTAATGCTGCCAGAATGTTACGAAGTCTTGTGTCTATCTTTCTGTTGTAATGAAGAGCATCCTTATTCTTAGTGTTCTGAAGTCCATCTTTTCTAGGGGCTGGACGGGAGGACTGCCAGAGACTTGAATAGATGTAAGATGTATCAATGGACTGATACATATTTTTGACCATTTCTCTTAGCTCGGGGCACTCAGTGGATTGCAGCAAGACAGAGTCACCACAAACATGTGCCTGACTTCCATGATAAATATGGCAACATTATACTACTTGGTGGAGCCCTATTTTGTGTCTCCATTTGGGGATATGTAAGTACTGTATGATTGGTACTATCACTAGTGTCTGCTATAACTATAGTCCTGAATTTGCAAGTTGTTACGCACCTTTATAAGGATTTGCCTATATGAAGCAACTTGAAGTATTAGGGCTTTGGGGTTTCCTGAAAGAGTAATTTTGTATGCATTAATACCCCAAAGGGAAGTGATTCATTAGTCCAACTTTAAACCTAGATCTTCAATAGGCACTTATTTTGAAAGTCAATTTACTGCAAGTCTTCAGAACTGTTAAACAGCTTGATTAAATATAAGCTAAGCACACTTCCTTTTGTCTAATAATTCATTTCCAAAATGGGCAGTTGGATGAGTGAGCTATTCACCTCAAGTTTTCCTTTTATGTTGGTGAAAATATTGTGTGGCTGTACTATAAGAGCTAAATATTAGACTGATGCTGTTATCCCCTGAATTTCACAGTATCAGTTTTAAAATATTTTAAATATAGCTTTCTAATACAGTATGTGACAGAAGTCTCCTTTTATGTAGAGTTTATTAAAAGACAGGTGTTGTTGAGGAGTTCTTAATATTTCTGTAATACAAATTACTATTGTAAAATAGTATAAATGTAATATCAATGGAATCAGTGTAAAGGGCTGAATAAGATGTCAAATCTGAGTCTAAAAACAATACTGATAGAGAATGATGCCCCTCAACTGTATTCTTTTTTTAATTTCTTGTTCTTGAACAGTTGCATAGGTTAAAGATACTATAAAACTGTCACTGTAAAAGGAGACTCTAATATGCATAACTGTTACTCTGTATAGCTTTATTGGATTTGAGGGCTACTAACTATTACCGGTAATAATGGTTAGGGTCCTATCAAATTCATGGCTGTGAAAAATGCATCACGGACCATGAAATCTTTTGTGTACTTTTACCATATAATAGGGTATTTTTTATAGTAAGTACCCTATGCTACAGGGTAAAAGTATACATAAGTACACACTTTTCTCAAACTGGGGGTCCCCACCCAAATAGGGTGACCAGACAGCAAGTGTGAAAAATCGGGACAGCGGGTGCGGGGTAATAGGAGCCTATATAAGAAAAAGACCCAAAAATCAGGACTGTCCCTATAAAATTGGGACATCTGGTCACCCTTCACCCAAAAGGCGGTAGTAAGGCTATTGTAGGGGGAGGCACAGTATTGCTACCCTTCTGTGTTGCTGCTGGTGGCAGTGTTGCTTTCAGATCTGGGCACTCAGCCAGCGGATGCTGCTCTTTGGCCACTCCGCTCTGAAGGCAGTGCAGAAATAATAGTGGCAATATTGTGACCCTCCTACAATAGCCCTGTGACCCCCTTTTGGGTCAGGACCCCCAGTTTGAGAAATGCTGAGTCTTAAGGGCTTTATGTGTTTTTATATTTTACCATTTTTAAATACATACTCATGTTTATTACAACACTGAAATTTAAGATTTAAATATCTGAAACCATGAAATTCAAGATTTTTAAAATGTGATAACTGTGAAATTTACAAAAATTTACAAAAATGAACCGTGAATGTGGTAGGTACCTAATAATAGTCTTTTCAGTCTAGCAGAGCATGATGCAATAGCTGAGAGTTGAAGTTAGACAAACTCAGACTGGAAATAAGGCATAATTATTTAACGGGAGAGTAATCGGCCACTGGAACAACTTACCAAGGGTCGTGGTGGATTCTCCATCACTGACCACTTTTTAAATCAAGATTGGATGTTTTTCTAAAAGATATACTATCAGAATTATTTTGGGGAAGTTCTATGATGTTATACAGGAGATCAGCCTAGAGATGATCACAGTGGTCTTCTGGCCTTAGAATTTGACAAACTTGTTCTTATATAACTTTTTAATCTATTACAGGTGGCAACACAAACTGGAATTGAGTGGAATTTATCACCTGTTGGCAAAGTTACCCCAAAAGAATGGAGAGAGAAATAGCCTTTGTTTATTCTGGACTGAAATGTGCAGTAATCCTGAACTGGTCTGAATTTTCATTTATGCCATACATGTAATGGCATCTGTTCACTGATTATTGCCATCTGTGATGTGGCATTACTGGTGTAATAAATATATTTAAAAATTCTTTTGTTCATCTAGGTCTTATTCCTGTCCCATGTTTCATGGCTTGCTATAAAAGTATAGTGAGCAATTTTAGGAATATTGCTTGGTTATAAAATTTTGACTGTTATATATATGATATTCCTTAAGAACCACTGAGATGAGTTTAGGTTAGATGCAGATGATGAAGTAACTGAAGGCAAATGCTCTTAAATGTCTGGTTATTGCAAAAAGATCCATGTGGGCAGACACGTCTACTTGGGTAGACTTTATTCACTTCAGCTGGACTCTGCATGGAGACTTATTGCAGGGACACATCTTTCATTCTTAAATCACAATTCTTTTAACAAAGAAGCATTGTACTCCCTTTTTTTTTTTTTTTTTTTTCTGCCACATAGTAATCTTCTTAAGGGCTGCAAGGGGCACTGGTTTATCAAGTCTCCCTTTCAGGAACCTAGCATCCTCTACTTCTCACTTAGAAAGTGAACTTACCTGAGTAAATTTTAAAAGTACCCATTAGCCAGAATAATTGTAGTGTGGAGATAGCAGCAAGAAGTGTATGCTTACAGTTTGCAAAAGTAAGTAGCTAGTGATTAATATAGAGGGGAGGCCAAAATGTTCAAAAATAGACTGCCTGTATAAGAGGGCCAAACATGGCTTCTGCTTGACATCAGACTTCTGCTGAAATGGTTCTTGAACTCAGAAGGTCAGTGGGAAGCTGGTAGTACCTGCCTTCTCGCCATCTGTGGTGCTTTTTGGAGTCGAGAATGCTCTTAAAGGTCTGACTGAGGCTCTGGATATACCAGAAGCATTTTACCAACATTGGAATGCTGGATGCTATACCAGCAAAGCACTCCTAGTTTGGCTGCAGCTATGTTGGTTGTGCTTTCCATTGGTATAGTGAAACAGCCTATACTAGTAAAAGTGCTTCGGTGTCAGTGAGGATGGGATTTGATGGTATAACTGCATCTACATTAGAGGCTTCTGCCAGCATAACTGTCTGTCAGGGATCACTCTTCACACACCTGATCAACATACCTATACAAGCAGAAATCTGTAGGTTGAACCTGTTTTTAGACTGAAAGGCAGAGGCAGTGGGTGAAATCCTCATTCCAATTGTCTATGGAAATTTTGTCACTAATTTCAATTAGGCTGGGATTTTGCTGATTCTTTGTAAATTTGAGCAGTGCCTAACACAATGGGGTATTAGGACACTACTGTACCTTTTTGCAGTGTAAACCAGTCTGAGGAACTAGTTGCAGCACTTGTGCAAGGGCTCCTGATAACTCTGGAATGTTCTGACCATCTCACTTCCTCAGTTTGTTAAAAATTAATACTTAGTCCTGTCATGAATGCAGGGGACTGGACTAGATGACCTCTTGAGGTCCCTTCCAGTTCTGTGATTTGAAACTCAAATGTATCCTGCCATATGAGGCTGAAGACTGACTTTCTGGCCTAAGTGGAGGTGGGAATATTACTTCTGATGATTATAGGGCCCTTTTTCATTTTGCCAGTATATGACAGTAGTGGTTTAAGGCTTGTTTTGATGCCTGATCCCTTAAGTTATGCCCCCAAAAGGAGTATTTTTACAAACAAATCTTTTTAATATTTGTTTACTGGTGCAATTCACTGTGCTAAGATCACTTCAGTTAGAAGTGTGCAGGGCAAGTGCCCACCATCTTTCCCCTGCCCTCCATTGTGGTGGTAAAATACATTAATATAGTTGCTTCTTGCTTGTTAAGGTATCTGGTAAAGGAACTACATAGGTCTGTGTATGATGGTCAAAACAAACACAGTACTTAAAAATAAAGTCTGTATACACTTCTGCAGAGAGGTGCTAAAGTGAAAACAGGGAAGAATAGAAGATAACCCTCTCTAATGGAAGTACTGTATGGTACCCACCCTCATATGCTGATGTTACAGTAGGTTTCCAAACTTTAATCACTCTTAGAAAAATAAACCAGGGCAGTAATCAGCCTTGGTGGTCACCTCCTCTTCTTCCAGGGTTGGTGCTAGGTTCACCTTCCTTGTCACAAAGCTCCACTCGCTTTCTTGAAAAAAATTGAACAAAATGACCTTATCTCCCATTGCTTGGGGAAGCTTTGATGTTTGTAAATGAGAACATTAAATTAACCTGCGATGTTTCAGTCTGCTTTTCGAAACTAAAGGGCAGCCACTTGCCCAGAAATGGTATTTCCCTAAGGGGGAAAATATCAAACTTCCTCTAGGGCCCTGTGCCTGCGACGTGCCCATGCCTTACTGCAGCAAAAACGCTTGACTGAAAACGTCCCCACCGCGTTCCCTTTCTCCATTGGTGGGACCTGAAACTCGTACGTGCCACTCCGCCTCACGAGGCCCGTTTCTCTTGAGTCTCCCCCTTGTCACATGATTGGGGGACTAGCCCGAGCTCTGTCACGTGGCTTTCTGCACTGGGATGGCGCAGAGGGGCTGGCAACGGTCGTGGGCGGGGCCAACGTGGCACGGGGCTATCGGGGGCGGAGTCGCCGCTGCTGCGCTGGGGGCGGGAGTTGCTAGCGCTGCTGTTGCGGAGAAGGAGCTCAGCTGGCGGAGCGTTGCTGGGTGAGTCCGTGCGCGCGTTCCCTCGCCTGGCGCTGACGGGCCCGCGGTAGGCGTGCGGGGCAGCCGGCCCCGTCCCTTGACGCGCGCGTATCTTCTTCCCCCGTCTGCCGTGGTCACTGCTGCCCCCGCGCTGTGGTGGGCTTTAGCCCCGCTCCCCGGGCTCGGACGTGGGGTAGGGGAAGCTGTGACAGCCGGCAGCGCGCTCCTCAGGCCCAACAGCCCCGGGCTCTGGTGACATCCCCTCCCGCCTCCCCGCTCTCTGGGTCGCTGAGCCGCTGACCACGCGGACCAGAGCCTCGCACAGATCGCCGTGTTGGGCGCCCCAGGAACATGGGGGAAACAGTTTTCCCATCCCGCAAAATGTTTGAGTTATTTGTGTGTTGGGGGAGGTCGGGAGGGAGAATGCATCAGACCTGCAGCTGGTGTGAGGGGCTATGCCAGCAGGAGAAGCCTCCCCCATATCTCTCCCTCGTATCCCCTAAAGATTAGATATGCCCAGGATGATCCATGCAGGGTTGTTGTAGCTGTTGGTCCCAGGGTATGAGAGAGACAAGGTGGGTCAAGTAATATCTTTTACTTCCCTTGGTGAAAGAGGCAAACTTTCTAGTGCACACAAAGCTCTATTTCACTCAGAGCTGAAGAGCTCAGTATAAGCTCAAAAGCTTGTCTCTCTTAACAGAAGTTGGTCCAATAAAATATATTACCTGTCCCACCTGGTCTTTCAGGATGACCCAGCTCATTTTTGGGAAACATAAGGTGGTGATTAAAAGGCTACTGCTGGCTTAATAACATGCCATAATTAAACGTGAGTCTATTGGTAACACTTTAGATGATTAAAGAGTTCATAAAATCCTTACATCTCTTTTAATACAGTTTGGGATGGTGTGTTTTGTTTTATTTCTCCCAGCTTGTATAGTGAAAGTCAACAGATTCAGTTTCCCTCTTCAAGTCAGTTTCTTTCAACAGCTTGGCTTTTCTAGGAGGTGAGGGGAAGTCTGTTTGAGTTGGAATTCCCCTTCTTTCCCCCCTCCCCCCCAAAAAATGTAGAGGCACTTAGTGCTGGTCTTAAGTTTTGTAAAGGCAATTTTTGTTTGTTATAAAGTGTAAGTTTAGAGCCAAATTTCAGTTGAATGTTCCTTTTACATTTGTATTTAGCAGTTAGCTACCAGAGTGACTGTGCACTTTATATGTAGTGTAGTTGTCACCGGACTGGTCTCAGGATATTAGAGAGAGAAGGTGGGTGACCAATTTTTGGTGGTGAGAGTGACTCCTTCCTCACCTACTTTGTGCACTCTATAGACCAATGGGTGTATACTGAACCCAATAGGGTGTTCCCTAGTTAATTGCTTTGCTTCTCTACCAATTTGTTTACTCTAGTGATAGTGTCTGTAACAGGTGCTGTTGCTTAATTGGAATAGTATCAGTATAAATTCCATTATTGCAGACACGGCTGATGCCAAGGGGTTAAGTGATGTCTAACTAGGAGATGATAATAATAACTAGCTCTTCTACATCACTTTTCTCCATCAGATCTCAATGTGTTACAAGAGAAATCAGTATCATTATCCCCATTTGGAATGTAGCTGCCGGCCTGCAGCATAACTTTTGTCTAGTCCAAGCAAAAAGCTGTTCATTTAAATATAACTGCATATCTATATAATAAGATTCCAGGATTGTCACTCTGCCATAATTACATGCCATAATTAAACGTGAGTCTATTGGTAACACTTTAGATGACTTTGAAGCCTAGAATGTCTGTTGAGTCAGTGTGAAGCAATGGAAACAGCTACAAGCCTGGTTGAGAGCGCTTTATGTTTAGAATATCACCAGGTTTAACTGGGAGTCAGTCTGTTACCATCCAGTTTTTAAGTTCTCAGCCATGAGACTACCAAACTCACTTCACATTCTAATGAGAGTCCCTTATGGTAGGAAGAATAAACTAACATAATGAATGGCAGGGAAGGGGATGCCATCAGGCTGTTGTAAAGAAATATGGAAGGACCTTTGGGAAGGCTGAGGAAAATTCCTTGGCTTCTTCCTAGTCTATTTTTTATACAGTGTTCATCACTGTAATATCACATTAAGCAAGAAGACTAACACATCTGTCGTGTACTTTTTTCTACTTTCTTCCCTCCTTCCTTTCCTCTATCAGTGAGAGGTATTCTTCCTCTCAAAGGGAAACTCCCAATGAACTAAATCCTTCGCTTTCTTCATTTGGCTGAAATATTGCAGCATACCTAATGGGAACTATGTCAGTTTTTTGGATTTCTTCATTGGTAATATTGCTGGAAGAGACAGTATTTATACAAAAATAATCTTCAATTTGATGGTGTAATAATAAATTGGCCAAGAAATAATTGTTTATACTTGATAGTGCAAAGGTATAGTCAAGTGTGTATAATACCACCTGTGAATCTATTGTCTGGATATACACACAAACTATAATTATCATTCTCTACTCAAGTTATTTCGATTAAATGCACGTAACGGAAGAATAGACCTTTTGCCTCTTCTTCAGGTAGTGAACATGTCGTTTACTGTTCTTACTGTTCTCATATTTTTATTTACGCTTGGATAATTCATTATGCATTGTTCTTGTTTAGCATTTTTAGACTAATCTAAAAAATAAGTAGCCTCTGTTAGTCTTATTATGTACCCACATAATTGAGGTGTTTAAGATGCATTCTATCCCTTAATGTTTACATGGTCCTATTTGGGCTATATTCATATTCTCCAAAACTCTCCATTTGCCATTGTCTGTAGTGTTTGCTGGAAGGACAGAAGCAAGAAACAGGATTTGCTATTAATTGATCTCAAGTTTTATTAAGCTCTTGTTTGAACTGTAGTAAAAATGTTTGCCATTTATACTTTCTGATGTGCATCTTATAAAGAGCTAGAAGCCCTGAAAGGATTTTTCATAATCCATATACCCCAGGCAGGACTCGTTAATATCTGGATTTTTTCAGTTTTTAATTCAAGCAGAGTGAAACATAATCAGTTGAGATTCTCACAAAGCTTAGATGTGTGTTTAGGATGTGCTGTTATCCCTGGAATATCTAGTTACATTACTGCATAGGTAAGAGCAGTGCATGTAATCCAGGGGTTGGCAACGTTCGGCACGCGGCTCGCCAGGGTAAGCACCCTGGCGGGCCGGGCCAGTTTTATTTACCTGCTGACGTGGCAGGTTCGGCCGATCGCGGCCCCCACTGGCCGCGGTTCACCGTCCCGGGCCAATGGGGGCGGTGAGAAGCCGCGGCCAGCACATTCCTCGCCCGTGCCACCCCCATTGGCCCGGGACAGCGAACCGCGGCCAGTGGGGGCCGCGATCGGCCAAACCTGCTGCGTCAGCAGGTAAATAAAACTGGCCCGGCCCGCCAGGGTGCTTACCCTGGCGAGCCGCGTGCCGAACGTTGCCGACCCCTGATGTAATCATTTGCCAGTAAAGACCAAAAAGTTCAACTAGGTTAGCTTCACTGGCAAGCTCTGGTGTAACGTTCCCTCCAGACCACTCAAAAAACTGCACTTCTTTAGTTTTACAAACAAATGCTTTAACAATTAGAAACAATAAATTACAACATATCTGGCAACCTGGTCCTACAAGACATGTGCCTGTTATCAGCCTGATCATATACCTTGTGTGCTATATCCCTTAACCGAACCTTTGCCTGTTTTGTATCTTTGCAGATTGTAATGTCTTTGAGGTAGGGGCCACATATTTCTTTTTCATACAATTCCTAACACATCTTTCATGCTACCATAATACAAATAATAAATATGAATATGTATAAATGAGGAATCATTGGTTTATAAACCTAAATTTGTCTCTAGCAGTTAACAGAATATTAGTATAATACCTTTGGGATTCTGTTCCAACCTGCTGTATGATTTCAGATAAGTCCACTGACCTCTCTTCTTAATTTTTGCCAGCTGTAAATTGAGGTGTTGACCCTCCCAAAGGTATTCTGAGGATGAATATTTGTACAAAACTTAGAAAAATGGTCAGTTTTGCATACGTGCTATGTATCCTTACTGGTCATAAGGATAAAACAGATAATACAAGCCTTTAGTTTATTTTAGGTGGGACACCCAGTTGAAAGTCTGGGATTTTAGCAGTCTTGCAGCCTTCATTTTACATGACTGATATTCTTTTTTTTTTTTTTTTTAAATGTCCACATGGTAACATGCAGTTGTGAGTGATTATATTTTGGACCCCTCAAGCTTCAGTTGATTCCATTTGTGATTATTCTACTTTAAAAATTCACTGTTTGCACATTAGAAAGGGTGGCTTAACTGGTTGTGGTGCTGTATCTCTGTGTTAGTTTATGCCTGATTACAGCTTCTTTTCCTCTTCTACAGGGAAAATTGCCTTTGAGAAATATAGGTTCTTTCCCTTTGTGTCTCCTCAACTACTTATTGCAAACACCTTTTGGTGAGTCCCTTGGAGAAAATGTGGTACTTGGAATCAAACTTAGAGAGACAATCAGACCAAATAATGAAGCCTACAGTACCTCAGTCTAGTGGCAAAGGTCCTGTGGAGTCTAAATATTTTTTATAAACCTGCTACTCAGCTGCTGAGAGCATCTTCACTATTTGGTATTCTGCTATTACAGAGCTAGCCTATTCCTAGTTTTGTGCTGACTTCATTGATGGTGTCAATATACAAACAAGGAAGTAATATTGTTTTGTGTTTTGTAAAACACAGGGAGAAGAATAATGGGAAAGGATAAAAACTGGCCGAGAAAGGCGTTTCTAAGGATATTACATAGTAAAGAATATAATAAAAAGTACAATAAAAAGCTATCGGGTGCCTTACAAATCCCATTTGAGCCCAAGCTTGTATATGAGATGATGATGCTTTTGACTTTCTTCCAGCATAGCAGTGATGGATTGAGAACCTTTCGGTTTCTTGCATCCTAGTTGTGTTTCTGTTTAAATTAATGGTAGAAACTGCCTGCCTTAGACTGACATGCCACTTGTTTGTGATGGCAAATCCTAAATTT